GAAGTTAGAAATTCAAATATTGTGACAATTTATTTTGTAGGGTGCCACAAGTTTGTTAAAATTTCCAAAGGGTGCCGCGACTAAAAAAAGGTTGGGAAACACTGTATTAAACTATGCATAAATGAATGCATGAATAAAATAATTTAAAAATATATAAAAAATTATATTTATAAAAACAGAAATATTTATATATACTGTATATGTGTATATATGTATATATATATATATATATATATATATAATACATAATGCACTAAATTGTATATATATATAGATATAGATAGATAGATATAAATAATTTTAGTTGTGCATTTATATATAAAATATATCTAAGTATTTACATCAGGTTTTTAGATCAATACATTACATTTCAAACAGTACACCAATATACACATACAAATTGCCTGTAGATTTAAAATTAGAAAATTTTGTAGCTCACCTTTCACCTGTTATTAAACTTCTTGAAAGTAGCTGATCAGGAACAGCGTTAACTTCTGCTGTATCTTCCTTTTCCCTTTTGTTGTCTGGTGTACTTTCGCTGATTTCTACCCAGTTCCTGTGAGTGATATTATCTCTGGCTTTCTTTACCTTTGTCACTGTCACCTCTCCCTGTTTGTGGCTTGTGTCTCTGGTGTGTCTGAAGGTCTCCTCTGTGGTGTGTGCAGTGGAGATCTTCCCACTGCTGTGTTCTTGACTTTCACTGTCCTGTGTTCTTGGGAGAAATGTGGCTATATCCTCAGTCTCTTCACCGCTGGTGTGTTCCTCCCTCTCAGCGTGATGGTTATCAATGCTTGTTTGGTATTTGCACCTTGCCGTGTCCTCCAGTATTGTTATCGCTCTGCTCAACTGGTGTGGGGCCAAGGGGTGGAGACAAATCTCCAGGTGACTGTGTGTTTCCATGCTTGAATCTGCAAGTGATACCTTCACTAGCTCAGAGAAGGGAGGGGCTGAAGTGCATTCTTCAGGGCTACATTCTTGATTGACTGGTAGGGCTGGTTTCAGTGGAGCAAGACGGTGAATCTGCTGCTCTGCTTGACCTGTCAACACTTCGGTGCCTCCGCATACCTCTGCTTCCATTGCACCTTGTGTTGCAGATGCTTCTCTTGTGCTCTGGACCATTTTCAATTCATTTCTCTTCTCTTCAACCAACTCATATGTTTCAGAAACCTTGTAATGTATCATTTGCTCTTGTGATAAAACATCCATGATTTGCTCTAATCCGGTGTCTTTTTCTAGATTCGATGGAACTACATACTTCTCATCATAAATGTCACCTAATTCACTTTGTTCCTCAACTTCTTGGCCATATTTCTCCTTTACAGACATGTGAAAGTCATTTTCAGTGTTCATACTCTCAGCTGTGGTTTCAGCCTGGCCTTCTATGATCTGCTCTGATTCAGGGTCTTGAACAAATGTAATGTCATGATTTTCATTATAGATATCATCTAATCTACTTCCTTCCCCCACTTCTGGTCTACATTTGTTCTGAAGGTAATTTCCAGTAGTCAGAACTGCTGTGGTTTCAACCAACTCAATCAACTCATGACTTACTTGAGTAGATGCCTCCTGAACATCTTCCTCAGGATCTTCATATTCTTTGAATGTTTTCTGTTGTGTGTCTACCTCTGTCTTTGGGGTTTGAGAGCTGAACAGCTGGTCTGAAACATCTAAGTGAGGGGGAGGATGAATTATGAAGGCAGGTAAGACTTCAGAGGGCAAAGTGCAGGAGATACCACTGTCTGGAAAATCTGAGGAAGTTACTGAAGAGTTGGTCGATTTAGTTTGGTCATTCTCCTGACTTATTTGCTCTTGTTCTGATATTTCAGTTAGGGTTTCCACATCTGAATAAGATATATTGTTAGAGAGACCTCTCTGGGAATGGTCAGGGCTGGTGGGGTCTGAGGAACCTGAAAGGTCAAAGGTGACAGTTGACTTAATGATGGTGTAGGTTCTTGACACAGCTGACTGAGGTAAAGAGATATTTGACTCATTCTCAAGAAGGACAGGTTCAGCAGGGCTAGGTTTCACTGAGCCAATGGCATTTGTCAAGGAAAAATCATTGTTTGTTTCATACGATTCCATTGAAATGGTCTCACAATTAATCTTAGGGTGAGATTCTTTCAGTAAAATTGAATCTGAAGTGGAATGTACAGTGATTGTGGGTAAACTCTGAGGTATTGAACTTAAATCACTTTCAGAAACATCAGTATTGGAGAGCGATAAAATTGGCTTTTTATCAGTATCAGCATCCAAACTGTTCTCTGTGGTTTTGGAGGAGGAGAAAGTGCTAGATACAATCACATCTGGCATAGATGAAACCGTATCAGCAATGAAGGAGTCAGTGTTGACTACATCACCGTTGCTGGCAGACGTGTTTCTGTTATTTGCAGTGCTGGTTTGAGAATCTTCTGCCTCAGTGGGTATAATGTAAGGTGGAAGACTGGAGGAATGTTCTGGAAGGGTATCGGCAGAATATGAGTTTAAGCTGGAACTCTGGGTCACAGTACTGTTTGATGTGAAACCATCAAGGATGACAGAGGTGGTACTGTGGGGGATGGAAGAGCCAAAACTTTGGGGGGTGGAAGAAATGGAACTTTGGGGAACGGAAGAGATGGAACTCTCAGGCATGGAAGAGCTGGAACTCTCGTGGATAGAGAGGGTGGCAGAGGTTACATCTTTTGATTCTTTACGTTCCAGGTGTGACTCTTTTTGAAAAAACATTTCGTCTTTGTTAGGAGTAACATATGTGGTGAAGGTGTTGACCTCAACATCTGCTGAAATTCCTGATCTAGATGTTTCAAAATCAGAGAAAGGATGATCATCCCTAAAAGAAACACCACTCGGGTTTAGATCTATGTTTGACTTATGGACTATGCATGTGACTGTACTTGCCGCAGTTTCCATATTCGGAGCAGGACTGAATGAGTCAGTAATTTTAGACTCAGGGTTGGAGTACTGAACAGATTTATCTGCAGATGGGGGTGTCTGGTAAGCATCACTATCAGACAGTGAACAGTCAATATATGGTATCGATGTACTGTCCAGATTTGAAGGCATAAAACCTGCATCCTCCTTATCAGGCTTAGGCATGTCACTCAGGATATTCTGGGACTGGGATTGGTCAGAGGTACAGGAGGGTTCTGGTGTAGGTACTGCTGTCTTCAAACCAACCTGGTTTTGTTCTGTTTCTACCAGGATGTCAAATTCTTCCTGTTCACTGATGCGATCCTTGACCCCTGGGACTCCACTATTGCTTGAAAGTCCCTGGGATAGATCTCTTTTCTTCTTCTTCTTCCAGGATAAGGATACAGCAAAGCCCTTGGATTTACGGAGGTCACTCTCCGAGTAACTCAGCTGTTCTTTCTAATAAAAAATGAAAGGAATAGAAAGTCAGAAAATAAAGTATAGAAAGTAAAAAAAGGAGGTGAAGGGGAGAATTAATGCAATAAAACAGAGAAAGAAAGAGGACAAAGATTAATGATCATGAACATTTACATAAAATTAATAAAATAATATAATATAAAGATGCGTTCATATGCATCTGTATTTTGTTGACATTTAAATATGTCACAAATACACAGTATATACACAGGTCCTTGCAAGTTAACTCAAGAAACATTTTATGCTTCATAGTAACCTGCCTGATTTGCATTTTCTAAAGACTTCTATTGGCACAAGAGGTATGAGACGATGATTCAATGGAAAGAGCTTTTTGTTACTAAACTATTCATGAAACACCCTACTATCTTAGTTTTATTTACTGAATGCGATTTAACCACTTTCATTAATGACAAAAAAGAGCATAGACTACAACACAGTGGAAGCACAAAGAAAACTGTATTTGTTGTTAAACATCAAATTTAAGTTTTAAATGAATCATAATTGAAACCTAAAACTGCAAATTGTTATAATGGCATTTTTATATAAACAGTAACAAGCAAGATGAAGAAGAGCAAAAAAGAAGAAAGTCATATTAATCAAAGAAATAATCGACAGATTAATAGATCATCAAAATAGGTGTTAGTTGCATATCTAGTAATTTAGCCACAACCATGTGTTATCACCATAATTCATATTTATCTCCTTGGGAAATTAAATCTTGTTCTGCTGTCTGGTGAAATATGATAAGTCTGCTGCTAAAGTGAATTCAGTGTTCCATCTGATAACATTAGAGGATGAAATGGCATGAAGTGAGATAGAGAGAGCTGTGTCAGTGTGTGTCATTCTGGGTGGAGGCCCTTGTATTCCTTGAACTGTGGGTGGTACAGTTCAAAATGACCATATCTGCAGGTCATCAGTCAACCTGTCATATAACTCAATCAATCAATACTGTTCACTGTTCTTATGAAATGCACAACTCAGTCTCAGTTTTTTAAAAT